GGTAAGTCATAGAGAATGAGAAATGATCAAAGGCATTTCCCTGGTGTTCACGGAAACATTGTCACGAATGTAAAGGAGATATTTTGACAGCATGCTATGATTGCCTATTGTGTTACACTAGCGGGAGTCTAGACCTAATGAAAATATTCCAGCCCCCTTCGCATTTGCTGAATGGCACGCCTCCAAGGAAATTGTTTCACAGTCGTAGCAGCATGAATTTACGACTAACGCCAGAAAGGGACATGCGGGAGCGAAGATTGATGGATATTGGAGCCAATGTAGGTACTTTGCATCTAAATAGCAATTCATCATCTCATTGCTTATCCTTTTCGATCCGTTGTAAGGTCCCGTATAGTACCATGGATAAATTCAAACTATCTTATGGGATATGAAGTGCACCTAAAATGCCTCAAAGCGTTCTTTTGTGTGCTCTTGTCTATGTGAGATCTACTCTGATTTACAACCGGTCCGAGCTGCGCCGGCAGTGCGGCATGGCTAGCTATGCGCTTCTCGTTCTTCTCTGGGTTCTCCCACTGCGGATTCTGGTACCGACGCAAGTGCTGCATCTTGACAATAGCGTGGACGGAGTTCGGAGACAGCGCCCCAGTATTCCTGCCCTTCAGCCGCTCCCTTGCGCTGTTGAGAGAATGGTCGGCTACTGTAGCTGTGGACGCAAGGAACGTATTCAGATTTTAGTGTAAAGTTTGTTCATAAAGACAAAAGTGTCATGGATAGTTGCTGCTCAATTGCGAAACAGTAGCTGATGAGTAATTCTCCAAAGAAGGAAAAAAGGAAGAAGAGCCCTTAAGAATGAACACCATGAACAAAATCTCTACTTGACAGTGACAGTGTCCTGCGGTCTCCGTGCAACCTCTGACTCACAAATCGCTTTGTCGCGTCTCCCTATAGTGTATATCATCCAATGCAAAGAAAATAATACGAAAAACAACAAAAACACGAACGAAAAACAATACCAAAAAAAGAAAACTTCAAAAACTTTGCGGCCTAATTCGGGGTTACGGTAGCGTGCATCTTCTAGTGCATGTCGAGCTTTTTCACCACGAAAATTGCATCGCTCGTGATTTTTACGCGTTATACCTTGCGAGATGGGTCGCAGTTGGCTGCATGTGCTCCTAATGAATGAAATGTAATAAACGGAAGCAGAATTCTTTATGGGCACGAGCGTGGTCAGCAAAATGGACATGCATTTCCGATTAATGCCCGCCGCTCCAATAAAAAAACAACTGATCAGTCCTTCGTCGGAGGGCATCTAGCAAATGGGCAGTCTAACTGGGCGGGCTTTAAAACTAGAACTTCCAGCGGCTATAGTTCGCTCCTCGCTCACTGTGGAGTCGCGAGAGTGGGACAGTCACTAGCTTGTGGGCAGAATTACTTGCACAAGGAAGGACGACCATGTACTACTCGAGCGCGGTGGCTGTCTTTAAGGACGTGGCGGAGTAAAGGATTCGAAAATTTATAATAAAGTTTCGCGGATACTTTTTTCGCGTGCATCGCGTCCATATCGATAAATGCTCCTCATATTCCAAAAATAGGGTTCTTTATTGTTCTTAACATGTAGCAGTGTCAAAAATGCCATTGACTGTTACCCGTTTCTCTAATACAGGATATTTTTAAGACCGGAACTCCATCTACTCTTCCAAAGAGCAAGCTCTATCACAGTGCGACTATGTCTGACCTCCGTGAAACTATCTCAACACCAGTCCGAAGGAGGCGTAGTTCATCGACACAGGCAGAACCTATAGGTAATCTATTGCAGAATATGTATCGAGATCAGTTGTTATACGATAGGAATTCATCAGAAATAGTTTCGGGACTAATTGAGTGGCACGTCTAGAAAATAGGTTCTAAGATACTTTGTGTTCTTCTGAGTCACCCTCTAAGATTACATACGACGTGCGTCCTCATGAGCGAAGCGGATAGGCCCGCAGAAGGAAGACGCGGCTCTTCCTCGGTTTCGATGTTCGCTGCAGTGAAGCCGGGGTTGTGATGAGATGGTTTTTCCTGTCTCCACCCGCAGTTTAGGATAAAATATGTGCGTTGGAACCACATACGCGACTCGACCAGCGATGATGCGCTTGGTTATGCGGCGACTTACTGTAGTCATCTGACTGGCCTTATTTATGGCTGTGCGTGCAGCATCGCCTATCGAATGCTAATCGGAAAGGGGGAATCGTCTCACACCTAAACAACTACACGAGCTACTCCTCCCCTCTTCTTCCTCCTCCTTCCCTTCCCCCCCCCCCCACCTAGTCTCCCAGCGTTGCGTATGGCGCGATCGACCAGATACGATCTTCGCCGTGGAATCGACAGCGTATGACGTGCCCTGACCGCAACCTTCAGGCTTGACCGCCCGTCCTTTCAAATGGCAGGAGTGCTGCACTGTGAGCCTGTCCACCTCGCATACGAAAATCCTAGGTAATCGGCGCAGTGCATTGTGAAGGTGTAGAGTGACGTCATTGAGTTCCACTTTTCTTAGCGGCTAAAGAGCGAATTCAAAAGCGAGGCGTGGTCTTATCCTTTGAAGGGATACGAGTGAGAAAACTGGCATTGCATCGTAATCTTTGGTCACGTGATTGATGATTTTTGCATGGTAGCATTGTTTTATATTGTGTCGTATGTGTGATATGTCATTCGCACCATTTTAGAAGCCGCCAGTCACCTTACGCAGGCGAAGCTCTAGCGTGGCATTGGGAGAAGTTATGGTTCAACACTCTGCACGTGATGAAAAGGAAAAGAGTGCTCCAGAGGTGAGTGTTTTCGAGTGTGGTTCTATGGATTTTTTTATTTTTGCCCCTTAACTAGTTTTGGTGCATGCTATGCTATGTCAGCTAGCCAAAGCATGACATGGTCATCGCATTTTCTTACAGTTGTACTTCGACCTCAAAACATATATACCGGAAGGTTTTCGTCGATCAATTTCAGCAGCTGATCGAGAAGGTCCCACATAGCTCCCTCTCCCTACCTGCTTGCATGGATACTGACGTACTTCTGGTCAAAAATAATGGCAATGTAAGTTATTTATTTCATCATGTTTTATTTTCATCATATCTCCTGTGTCCTGTGAGCAGTTGCATCATGTGCTGTTTATAGGATCTAGCGGATAGTGCTCAAGTAACATCTGCACAGTCTTGTGACAGTGAGTCACCCAAGAAGGTCGGTGGCTTTCCAGAATGTGACGCAGTCGCAGGGGAACAATCTGGCAAAACCAGCGAGGAAGGTAGGTATACCATTTTGGGCACAATTGTAGCTCATTGCGTGCTGCAGTGAATTACAGCTTGCACCTCTCCGTCCTTCGATCGATATACCGAAAAGCTTATACCTCAGGACTCTAGCGATACAGTCGTACGATTTGGGGGTCATGCAACTACGAGCGAGCGCGCTCCACCGCTAGTCTTTGAACCGCTTCGATGGCTATTCAGTCAAATTCAACGTGGAGCTCTGTCGACATAATAGCAATCCAATGATTAGCAGTGGGGCGCGGTCACCTGAAGTTGTATCCCTGATTCTGCTACTGAATCGCTCATACAGCGAAGTAACATTCAAAGCACTACATACTCTTTTCGCATCCAATTTTCACGAAATATCTATTGGCCGGTAGTAGCCGCTTCACGCATAGCTATGGTGTTTCACTACCAGGTGCTGTAAGGAACTACTTAATAAACAGTACTTTGGATACACACTGGAAAAAGTTAGCTTTTATGGTTTAATTTTTATTTTTTTTCAGAGCACACTGCCAAGGACTCTGAAGCTAACATAAGCAGTGAACCTATCGAGTCTTACGACGCTGTGCCTGATGACAAGAGCAGTTCTTTGCGAACCCATGAGGAGCTACCTACAACCAGTGCCAACATTGAGCTCGAACCAGTTGTTGGTGCCAAGCCTGCAGAAGTCACAATGGAACTTATTCAAGAAAGTCGGCATGAAATTAATGCAGTAAATGACGGCCAGGAAGAGCCTAAGGACAACTGCACTGCTCATATAGACACGGTTTCGTCTTCGGCTACGGAAACATATAGCCTTCCTACATGTGATGACAATGTGTCAAGCGGGAATCCCACGGTTCAAATCGCTGAATGTGCAACTTTTTGTGTCTGTTCTATAGAAGCAGGCTCGTCAACACAGTCATGTAGGTCTGAAATTGGACCCGCTTCGGAACAACTGAACCCTGATTCGCTGTAAGCTATTTTTCCTTATTTTTCGTTGATTTCTCGAACATTTTAAAAATGCAGCAAGCGGGTAAGGCAGAGTTCGGTAGAGCACCGACAGGGATGGTGAGCGAGAATAACAAGTACCCCTGAATGGACAACCCCTTTGAATGATAGTGGTTTTCAAAGTCAGTGTTGTGATTGACACTTTGCTCATGAAACGTTTAATGTTCAGATTTGTTGCTTTCTTGCTGGTCAAACCTTAGACTTACCAGAAATTTCGAACTGAAGTGGTCATTCGAAATGACATATATACGTTTCGCCTTCCAAAGCTGCTTACAAACATGCCTTCCTATCTGCCTTCGTGCCTGCTTATCTGCTAAACGATTTTCGAAGAAAACTTATGAGGACTCTGTTCAGGCCATCGGGAGTTGAGACCATTCCTACTGGCAGTTCAGCTGGGACAGTAAAAAATAAATCCGTCCGTTTCAAGAACGTTAGTGTTTACTACTTTGCGAGAACACAAGGAACTTCGACTGTCCCGAAAAGTGGCGAGGTTTCATTAGGTAAGTCTTTTTTTTTGAACGTAGTCTAGAGAACATCAATCTGTGAAGTTTGATCCTACAGTAGAGCTTGTAAAATTTTGCTGCTCAATCGTTTTTCTACTTGCTTTTCTACGTAGTACCTTGTCTAATGCGCGGAACTGTGACATTTGATGTCCATTCATTCCTTCTTTACCGCTATCACTCTATAATTCTTGCTGCGAAGGAGCCACATGCAACTTCAGATTTTGTGCTTACAGGTATGGTGGATAAACATTTCACGAAGCGGCAGTTTCCTCTCTGGTATGGTCGGCGGCCGGAATTGGCTCTTTCTCATGACAGTGAGGTAAAGTATATGAATCGTGCTTGCTATGTTTTGAACTTCATATAAAAATCCGAAGATTTTCATGTCAGTCTTGATGAAGTGCTCCTCAATATTGTCTGTCTTATTGACGGTGTTACTTGTCATAGTACACCCACAGGACTTGCTCAGGTTCCTCGTAAACTAGCATTCAAATTTTAGGAAAGTTTGTCTGAAGGTGAGGATCCTGGAGATATTTTCGATCCGGAAGGACACGAGCGTTGCACGGCATATCAATTGCCGACACTGGAAGGCAAGGCTCGCATAAAAATGCTGAAACGCTCTGGAGTTCAAGTTCAGAAGGCAAGACGACTCGAATACTAGCTTTCTTAATTGTTCTGCAAGTTTTGCTTTGGTGAAGTCTGCTAGTCTGATTGGATTAGCATTTGGCTGCATCCTAGGATGTTTTTTTTCGAGTAAAGTATTGAAATATTGTCAATTCCAGGATGACGGCCTGGAGAGCCTAGAATCGATTCGGAAGTCTCGTTTGTTGTGTGGATGTCAGTGTGAGAATGGTATTTGTGATCCAGAAACCTGTCAGTGTGCAGCAGAAGGAATCGTTTGTCAGGTCCGTGTCGGTGTTAAAGGTTAAAAAAAAGAATAAAGCTCTCGTCCTCAGCGAACCCTTTGGGATGCGGGACGCATTCTACTCCCACTTAGAGTTGTAGTGTAGTGGTTTATCGAATGCAATGTGATCTGTACGATGAGTTGCGGGGCTAGCCGATGAGCATGTCAGTGTCCTATCCTCCTTAACGATTCTCGTACCAATTTACCGTGCCCGACAGTCGGAAATCGTCAGGATAGAACACCGACCGCTTGGCCTGGGGTGGGAGGATGGGGACAGTCCAAGAATTGAACCTCAAACCGCGCGCGAGGTGAGAAAGCCACATGCCTCACACCAGGTCCGCCTCATGTTTGTCATGCCAAAATATTCTATAGTAGGTCGCGTATATGCATGACGTTGATTTGTAAGCATGTAAGACTGGGAACTTTTGAAAGGAAGTGAACCCAGTGCCAGGGTATTGTGGAACGTTCGCGTAGAGTCCTGGAAAATGCGGTATCGTACGATGTTTCACCAATAGGAAGTAAGTCCCGCCTAAAATTCACTGCCCCGAACCGCTCGAAAAAAGGTCCATTGGAAAAGTAGTAGCTCGAAGAGCTTGCTATCAAGCGATTGTTTCCCGAAATAAAGGACACGGATGAGCTCGGAGAGAAAGTGAGACTTATTGCTTAGCGGCTGCGATAAGAATTCTTTCAATTGTTACTGTCATCCCATCTTGTCCCGACCGTCGTGCGCGCTGCATCACTAGGAACCTTTAGTTGCGTTTGAGGTGCTCCTAGGGTAGGTCATTGACGTGTAAGGTTGTTGTTAACAGTTGTGGGCCTTAAATACATTGTGAGACTTTGGCGACTTCACTGTTAAGAAGGGGTCCAGTCTGGTTAATACTCCGATCGACCTGATTTTGTTAAGATTTATAGTACTGTATGGTTGATTTAATTGTAGGTCTGAGGAAGCTGTTTCACAGAAAAGCTAACCGATAAATGTTGTATATTGAGTATTGAGTTCTCATGAATCATTATTGAAGGAAAGCACATATTTGATTGTGTTTTTGTAAAAGAAAGGATCTGTAGATCTTTTACACCTTGTAAAGGAGTATTCAGGTTGACGGTATTGACGAATTCGGCAGTTCACATCCATGCTCTTGCACATCAGCCAACTGCCGGAATCCTGAAGGGCGGATTGAATTCGATGTGTCACATGTGAAAAATCATTGTCGCATGACAATTTTGCGAACGAAGCATGCCGAACAAACGGTAATTTCATGATTTCCTCTCGGTTTCCTTGCTTTATTAGCTAATTTAAACATAAATCTGATTTATTGAAGTTAGACAACATAGCGCTCTAAGACAATGAATATTTTGACGCTGCTAGGTTCTTCACATATGTATGGAGACAGGGATGGATATGGGGACCCCTCTATTATCATCTCCTAGATTGTGTTCACACTTTGCCAAGAAACAGGAAAGTGGGTTGACCGACGTACTGGAGAGCGCGCGTCTCCCAGAAATGTTTGATAACAGTCAACTTTATTAGTGCGCAAACAACTAAAACGTGGATTCGCCTATTCTCCTATACTCCCGCCTCAAAATATTGGTCAGCCTCAGAGTAAACGTTGCCTGAAATAGAACTAATGTGTCCTGATTAGTTGGTAGCAGACATTTTAGATGTTTTTTCAGGGAAGGTATGATTCTCCACAGCGAATACGATTCAATTCTGAGGGAGAACAGATATCGACTGCTCAAATGTGCTCTCCACCGAACAAGGTATTGTTACGGTGTTTCGTTTTTTCCTTCAAACATACGAGTGATGTGAACGTCAGTGAATATGTGTTGTACCACTTGTTTCAGAAAGCTGCCGTAAGTGAAGAGGTTCAAACAACCGAGCAAGACCATTCACAAATTTCGGATGATCCACCAACTCGTAAATTTCCAGTGACACCAGTATATAAGCGGTCCAAACAAAGACGGTTAGTTCTAATTTTTGCTTTATTGTTCTGCTGCTACCCGTTTAGTTTATCGACAATTGGTCATTCCAGTGGATTACGAGTAGAACTCGCCATGGGCCTCACAGAAAATATGTCTGGCGATAAAGTTAAATTTCCTACGGAAACTCTAAATGAATACTCCGAGGATGCTTAAGTTGTTACTGATGACAGAAAAAGCTTTTTTGCCTTGGTTGACTGTTACTAATATTGTATGCTTGTAACATGCTTCATTGGTCTGTATTTATAGAAAATTGTGCATTTTTCAAGTACGCTTTTGCTACCGGGTCTGTAGATGAAGTATTCAAGTATTTTTATGCTTGTCGCATAATTGCCATACTCGATATGCCTAAGATGTATTTTTTATGGAAAGAGAACGATTTGTGATAGTTTCTTGTGACATTAAGAAAGCTCCGCTAATAGTAGGCAAATACTCGTCTTATGATATTCAGAAGCTTGTGCATGTTTGATCCACAGAAACTGTAGTGGATTCGGATTGGCTCATCTTTTACAATGCGCACAGTATCGTAGTAATAGATGTAATAAAACTTCTTGATGTGTTTTTTATATGGTTTTCAGGTTCATCCGTAGGAGTATATGGAACAACCTTTAATTACTCATGATCATGGAATTTCCTTTTTTCTGAGTGAGATTTCATTGCTTCTTTGTCAGTAGCATCCTTTTCGCCTTTTCTACGATTAGCGAAGGTGCTGCAAGAAGATTTACGTGGTACAATAAGTTGCGCTCATTCTTTGAGTTCTTCGAATGTATTCCCTCGTAGAAAGTTCCAGCTTTGCCATTTGGTCACCTTGAATACGCAAAGCTCGAAACAGGGCACGCCATCGCGTTGTGATCAATTTCTGATAAATAGGACCCCCTCCTAAAAAAGGGTCCCGATACGATCCCCCTTGTTCAGTGCTAATCTGGTAGCAGCGGACAAACAACTACCGAAAAAAATGAAAAATCTGCAAAAATAAACGACAAAAAGTGAAGCGACGTCAGATATATCAATCCAGTGTTTTGATAGTGATAACAGGCTCCGTTATACGAGGGTTGCCTTTTATATTTCGGGATTGCTCAACTCTAGTGTTGCAATCTGGCAAGTGACAGCTCTATCGTAAAGTTTGACATTTTTGAGGTTATACGTACTCATAGTCAGAACGTTTTGACATATGAGCGCTATTTGTGTTGTTTACACCAATCTAAACGATTTGGGTCGGCCAAAAAATGGAATTAAATACGTTTTCGTGAGATTATTTTTTACAACTTAATTCAATTTTTGGCGATGAAGCTCCATCAAGGACCAGTGTTTATCAATGGTATGGTGAATTCAACCGAGGTCGTAGTTCACTCCAAAACGAATTCCGTGGAGGTCGTTCAAAATCAGTTGTTGTTCCGGAAACCATTGATGCTGTGCGCAAACTAGTATTGCAAGAGCGTCATGTGACCTATCGTGAGATTGAGACAACCTTAGGCATTAGTGTGACCAGCATATATTCAATATTGCATGAACATTTGACTGTCAAAAAAATTTGTTCGCGTTGGATCTCAAGCGCCGAAGACTGGTCACTCTTCACCACGACAATGCGAGCTCTCACACATCGGCTCGAACAACTGCATTTTTGAGCACTCAAACCATCGATTTGATGAGTCATCCGCCATATAGTCCTGACTTCTCACCGAGACTTCTTTTTATTCCCGTACGTAAAAAATAAAATGAGAGGTCAACGTTTTTCGACACCTGAAGAAGCGGTTGATGCGTTCAGAATGCATGTTTTGGAGATATCTCAATCAGAGTGGCAGAAGTGCTTCAACAGTTGGTTCAAATGCATGCAAATGTGTATAGATCTTAATGGGGTTTAAAAAAACAATAGAGTTATTTTCAATGATTAATATTTATTTTTGTTCTCTAATCCCTAAATACAAAAGGCAAACTACGTATGACACAACCATTCGGTACTCTCCAAGCCAGATCGAAGTGGTAAATTATAGATGAGCATCAAACACAAGTCAAGAGAAAACGCGGGAAAATGCGGGTGACAGCACTTGACTTATTGTTCGCGGTCATTTATAAGTGAGCGCGCTATACGCTGTGGTGTTGGAGCGAGCAGCTTCACGACTAGTCTCAAGCGAGAATAGGGCTTCTGGTGAGGGAAAAGCAGGACTGTGGAGCACTAGGCTGGCATTTCTTACCAGAGTTTGAGCGATTTCAAAAAATTTCCCTTTCAAGAAATTCTCCGTTGTGATCCGGTCGTGATCATCGCGGGTCATTTGCGAGTCCTTACGCTTTGAACAGCCATAACAAACTTCATACAGGGCCCTTCGTAAAAAGGAAAGCAGTGTCGGGATTTCGAAGCTTTCTACTTTTCAGTAAGACTTTCACTCTTTAAGCCTAGTCCGGCTATTCCGAAAAAAATCCCCCGTTATGATCACAATGCGATCCCTGCCGAATGACACGAAAAACCCACCCATCCTACCCCATACCACTTCCAGTTCGTTTGAAGGCCTCATTATGCTTTTAAAACACATGTTTTCGCCAAGGATACTAGAAAAGAGTGCATTTGGCTCCAATTGGCATCACCTCTGTAATCCGCCATGCATAGCGCTTTCACGCAGAGGTGTTGGGAAGGTGCAACTTCTAGATGGGGCTTCCTAAGCACGCACATGTGCTCCTGCGATCAGAAAGGTCCGGAAGTGTACTTCCTCTATTTGGTAATCGTCACGATGTGGGCTCTTTGGTTTGTTCATTAATTCATGATGTCGCTGTGGGCGTCATCGTATTTCTTGTCATTGCCGTACCTCACTTCTGCGCTGGCGAGTTGCTTCTGTCTTGTGCGCGTCTCTGTAGGGGTTCTTCACATGAATAAGTCTACCATCATTGAAGCTGAGCGACATTAGGGTTTCGCTGCATCTTCACTTTGGAAAGGGCCCAGCGCCTACGACCCCTCCCTCCCTCAGTCGAGGTCAAGTACGACTCCCCCCCCCCCTCTTGTGAATCACAACGATGGCGTGACCTTGTTCGGAGGGGCCACTACGGAGTATGAATGCACTTTCAGCTGAGTTGCGGCAAATTTAGAAACTACTAGAAACTACTACGTTTAGTTGTTGGTAGTAGGTGACTTCATCTCATTGTGTATCCTCTCATAACGACTTCTGTATGATATTGCAAGATGTTCTACTAAGTGCAACATCTTGTACAGTCTTGTACGCTATGGATGAAAGGGCGGGATTGGTTTGGCGCGAAGCAAAGCTCGTTACACAACATTTGTTAAAGCGATTAAGTAACGAGATTGTGTCATACAGTTCATATCATTTTCCACAACCGTTGTGGCTTAGCCGCATCAACAACGGGTGGATCGCTCAACTTGCTCGTCAATCCGCGGCGAACAAGAGGGATTATGAACTTGAACTGAAGGTAGTATCTGAGCAAATTACAGGTGGCTTGCATCACACTCGCGGTTCGGGGGGGGGCAAACATCGGACTGCCTCGTGCCTTGGGTGAAGATGCATTTTGCTGTCCATGAACGATAAATTATTGGGGTGTTTGCCTAGGAATATAGAAGTATCGGCTTGTGCGTGGACTTGTCCCACAAGTCATCATATTTGGGCATATCGCATTTAAAAAGTCCCCATGACTCTGAAGAGATAGAATGTGTCCCGCATCCTAAAATGGATTCACCAGCAGCTGAATCTTTGCCCGCATTTTTAGAGCTGAACAAATGTGTCCCATTCCCTTGTGTGATTACTCCCGCTTCAGCTTCACCTGAAGCGTCAAGTCCCTCACTATTGAGTTAAGCTTGAAATCGCTTCACGCCTTGCTGCGTTTATGCTTTGCGTCTGCGTTTTGACCGTCTCGAGAGACTAGGAAAGTGTGGTTATCGATCCAGGGTGTCCAGCGTGCGGCAGCATTTCAAGCGTCTAGGAAAGCATCAGGCTTCCACTAGCGTTTAGAGCGTTTTCATGGGCAATTATGAGGTTTTGCCGGACCGTCGCTGAAAACTCTGGCGTACGCTCAAACGCTAGATCGATATGTATGCTTTCGTAGTTGCTGAAAACGTGGCATACATTCAAAACACTGCTGTACGCTCGAAACGTTGACCCAGAGTATCCTGGTAGCCTTTCACTTGCGTTTTTGCTTCACGCTCTCCTACGTCACCAGAAATGCCTATTATTGTTGATCACTCCCTACCTTGTCAACGATTAGTGAGCCGAAACTGCGGTGCCTCATTTGATATAACAGTCAATGCTATAAAGAAGAAGAACGGTGACGTCATCAACTAATCCGGAATCTGATTTCATATTGGGGTCAGATTATCAGGACCATATCTATTTCTTTTTGCTATTTTTGCGACCATAAAGAATTTACGTTCTCAGTGAGAGTGGATGATACTGATGAAATTCCTTGGCGGTGATTTTGGGACATAAAAGTCCGTTTTATACCACTATAGAATAACTTCTCTATTTTTATACTTCTCTTACATGTAATCCCTTTGTGCTGAACTCATTCTTTATCCTTCTTCTACACTTTCTCCCATAATCACTCTATATCGATTCCCCACCAGGATCATCGATACCTTCTTATTACCGTTTACCGTAGCATACTACCTCCTCATTGGTGCGCTACTATCGTAGCACCTCATTTAGCGATGACTCATCTGTAACCTCAATTAAAGGCAATCAATAGGCTTCTCGGGCTGAGTCATCAGGTTTCTTTATGCCAACAGCCTTTATCTGGACTGTCCATCAGGAAGCATTCAAGCTCGGCTCCGCCCCCTTCGGCTCACTGTACAGACGCTGACCTCATCTAACAGCGGCCTCTTCATCCTTCATCCATTTATCTCACTCACCTAATGATCGCTCAACTCATCTATAGGAAATTCATCATTGAACGGTATGACTCTCAAGAACCTGTAGCTCTTAGAAATGAGGTAACAAACCCGCATGTAAGCGACTTTGAAGCAGATTTCGAAAAGAAAAGATCGATTGTTGTCATAGGATTACCTGAGTCCGTTTCCTCTTCTTCTGTTGATCGAATCAATAATGATTTTCAATTGGTCAACTCAATTCTGAACCACCTAGATATCGAATGTGTTCCTAACGCTGTCTATCGAATGGGCAGACCAATGAATGGGCGGCCCAGACTTGTTAGTGGTTTTGCCTTCATCCAGATTCCAGCAAGTAGCTCTTAAACGTGCTCCCCGTTTACGCACTTTCCCTGATAAAGGCGTTTTTTTACGCCCATCTCTATCTAAGGATGAGAGAGTGCGATTACGTGAAGCCCATTTGGCGAAAAAAATCAGAAAATAGGTCTGTTGCCGTTAATATTTGTCATCAAAATAGTAACTCCGCCGGTTGTTCACAAAACACTTCTTTGAATGTTCGTTCCACAAATTCTGTCATTTGTTCACAAAACGCTTCTCTGAATGTTCATTCCGATATTGCATTGTCGAAAAACGTTTGAGTTATCCACGGACATCTCCTTTCAAGGTCAATTGTGCTTTATCAAACATCAGGTCCTTGGTTACAAATGCAGTCTGTCTAGAAACATTTATGCGAAGGGAAAACTCCGATCTTATTATATTATGTGAAACATGGCTAAATTCGAAAATTGATATTTTCCCGTTACTTGGGGTAGTGGCAGCACAGTATGAAGTTTTCAGAAGTGACAGGCTGAACAAGAGAGGAGGCGGAGCAGCCCTTTTGCTTAGACACCCCCATTCTGGTAGTACAGTGTTTGGGGAATCGGTTAAGGGCGCATACGAAATACTAGCGTGCGATATTTACTTTTACTCCATGGAACTTAGGATCATAGCCGTGTATAGAGCGCCGTCGTGTTCTTCCACAAGAAGTGAACAACTTATCAAGGCTCTCAGTGATCTGTCTTCCTGTGACAAAGTGTGCATAGTAGCAGGTGGTTTCAACCTTCCTCATATGTTCAGCTCTCCCGCAGTACTAAATGATTCCTGTTGTGCAAAATGTAGCAGCATGTTTACATCACACGGGTTTGTCCAAATCATAGATTTCCCTACAAGATACAGTTCCTGTTGGACTTGCTACTATGTAATGACTTCTCATTAATCCACTCAGTAGCTTCCTCTCCTCCGCTAGGTACCAATGATCACAACGTTGTTAAGTTCAGCTTTAAAGAAAGCTTTAGAGCTAACAGGCATAAAGTATGTAGAGACTTCAAAAATGGGAATTTGAAGCTATGTGAGCATACCTAGCAGGTGTAGACTGGTTCGGATCTTTCAACAATGTCATGGGAGTTAATGAAAAGTATGAAATGTTCATAGCAATCTTACAGCACGCCATCACCATGTACATTCCTTACAAGATGGGAGTGGTAAATAAACTTCATAATCTACCTCAATATTTAGCTTCAACGGGGAAGACCAGCGAGCGGTATTGGGAAAACTTTTCAACGCGGTCGCGGTTTTCCAAAATGTTTTATGAAATTTGCTTCTTTGACTTTTTTCACTTTTGCTAGTTGCACACACACACTTCATTGGAAACGATTGGTACCGATGAAGATCTGACTCCGCACACCTCTCAATGAAGTTACCGCAAGTATTGGGTATTATAGCTTCTTTCGGTGTCGTTCTTTTCACACTCAATCTTCACAAAACGAATATAGTCATGTATTTACACACTAGCTCGCTAAGCCCCGCTCCTCTGACCACGCCCACTTTTTCGCGGGATTTGAGTTTTCTTCCGTATTTTCAATTTTTCAAGCTGTGACAAGCGGTTCCGCCCAATAATGGGAGCTTTATAGAAGTTCCGCCCACTTTTCAAAAATGATGCAGATCGGTGAGCTAGTGACCATGCTAGCAGGTTATGGCCTCTCCCGGCACCCGGGGCGAAGTTTCTCTTTTTTTTCTGGTCTTTTACTTTTTTTCATTCTATGTGACGGAAGAGTCCATAACCTGCTAGTACGGTCACTATCTGTCCGATTTTATTTGAAAATGTCCGATTTGGTTTGAAAAGTGTCCGATTTGGTTTGAAAAGTATCCGATTTGGTTTGAAAAGTATCCGATTTGGTCTGAAAAGTGTCTGATTTGATTGGAAAAGTGTTCGTTAAAGTGAAAATGGAAATAAAAAAATAAATGAAATATATAAACCGGATAAAGTTTGATTACCAGTCTGAGGTTGTTACGTCTGTAACGAGAAGACCCCCGTGGCAGCAATCTCTATTGACCTCGATAGCTTAACCACCTATAACAATCTGTTTCTCATGTTTTTGATCTTTTTTCCTTGATCCATGCAGATATGTAGATGGCTTAGTCAACTCCAGTTGAGTGAGTTCGTTTCGACCTTGTTAAGGCCAAAGTTCAAAACATCGTTAACGAAGGGTGCGAAGGAGGAGTCGCATTTAATGCCCCGGTAGAGTGTCCTAACAACAAGTATCAGCAGCAGGTGTCGTAGTGGGATCAGTCAAATACAGGGGGCTAAACTCTGCACATTTCCACCATATTTAGAAGCTTCTTCTTCTCCTTGTTCTCCCTAGCGTTAGTCCCGCGCCGTCGCATTGTCCGCTGTTCGTGTTAGACGTCGCCACTTGTTCCGATCCTTGCATCTTCTGCTGTGGCTTTCACGTCTGTGAGGTCCTTCTTGATGACGTCCCTACATCTTTTCTGTGGGGCTTCTCGTGGTCGCTTGCCTCCTGCTTCGAATTCCTTCCTTATTGGGTGGTACTCAGGCCTTCTCAGCACGTGCCCGTACCATCGCAGTCGCTGCTCTCGTGCCTTCAGCTGGATCGGAGCCGTCTGTGTGATCGCCTTGACGTCCGCGTTTCTGACACTGTCGAGTCGTGTCCAACCGCAGGCCCATCTCAGCATCCTCATTTCAACTGAGTGGAGCTGCCTTTCATGGTTCTTGCAGCACTCATTGCCGTAGAGCATTGTAGGCCTTACCACCGCCCGGTACACCTTGCCCTTGAGCGTTCTCGAGCACCGTCGGTCGTACAGGATGCCAGTGGACTCCCTCCATGTCATCCAGGCTGCGTTGATTCGGGTCTTCACCGCCTGGTCCACGCTGCCATCAGCTGCTAGGTCGCTCCCCAGGTACTGGAAGCTCTCAACCTTCTCGATGCTCTCGCCATGGCGGTCTGCGATGAGTTCGATGGACTCTTAGGAGCTTATGAACTTGGTCTTCTTCACATTCAACCGGCGTCCATTCTCAGCGAGCACATCCTGCCACCGCTGCACCTTGTCCTGGAGTTCCTTCCTGCCGTCCGCTATCAGGGCGATGTCGTTAGCGTAGAGGATGGTTTTCAGTAGTCCCTCCATGAGTTCTTTTGCCATGACATCTAGAGCCACGAGGAAGAGGAGCGGGCTGAGGGCTGAGCCTTGGTGTCCGCCAACCGTGATGTTTATCTCTTTTGTCAAGCCGTGCGGGGTGCGTACAGCTGCTTTAGCCCCATCGTACATATCCTTCACTATGGAGACTAGGTGCTCCGGAAAGTAACGTTCTCTGAGCGCTCTCCAGAGTACAGGCCGAAGCAGGCGGTCGAATGCCTTCTCAAGGTCCAGGAAGGCTAGGTAGCGAGGTCGCCGCTTCTCTCGGTACTCCATCAGCTGTCTGGCGATGGACATGGTGTCAGTGGTGGACCTTTCGGGCATGAAGCCGAACTGTTCCTGCGAGATAGGGACCAGCTCCCTCAGCCTAGCGTTGACCAGGCGCTCGTGCAGCTTCATGGTATGGGGAGTCAACATGATCCCGCGGTAGTTGGAGCACTCCGTCGCGTCCCCTTTCCGTTTGGAGATGGGACGATTATGCTGCTCCTCCACGCATCTGGCATCCTTCCTTCAGCCATCACGTTGTTCAGGAATTCTGTTAGCCAACTCACCCCAAGCTGTCCCAGGGCCCTCCATGCCTATATCGGTACCCCGTCTGGACCCACTGCTTCCCCAACTTTCATTCTTCCTAACTCACGGCGGACTTCATCCTCCGTCCAGAGGGTGACGGAGCCTGCCGTGGCTATCCCTGCGGGGAATTCTTCGTTTAGTAGCCCCTCGAAGTATTCTTCCCACCTCTTTCTGACTCCGACTGGTTTCCTGAGGATGGCTCTGTTGCTGATTTTCACCGTCTTTACGACCCTGATGTCCTGAGCCGCGCGATGCCTAGCTTTAGCCAGGCGGTAGACGAACTTGTCCCCTTCTCGGTCTTCCAGCTTCTCATACAGTGCGTCCATTTCCGTATTCTTGGCCTTTGCAACGGCTGCCTTGGCGAGTCGCTTGCAGCTCTTGTAGGCAGCGTAGTCTCTGAACTCCATGTCTTTTGTCAGCGTTTATATGCTTTCTTCTTCTGCTTGACGATCCCCTGGACTTTCCAGAGCCAGGCTGCCTTGTCTCCTCTGATACCACCCCGCGTTTGTCTCAGGACTTCATTGACACACTGTAGGATGACCTTGCTGCATAGGTTCAGGTGTCCTAGACTGGCCCGTGTGGGTCTGAGAGACCACCCTCCAGTATTCTTCGGCGGAGGCTATCCTTTTCTACTTTGCGCATTTTCCACCACCGAATTTTTCGCTCTGCTCTCACCCTTGTCTTCTTGGGGTGGTCTATGGCGATGTCTGCCAGGAGAGGCCTGTGCTGAGGGCCCAGCTCCTCCCCAGGCAGTGCCTTGATATCCTTGACGGTTTTGAGAGACGATATTCTGACCAGGACATGGTCGATTTCCGTTTGTCTCCCTCCTTTGCTGTAGGTTATCTTCTGAGTTCTCCTCTTCGCGAAGAAGGTGCTACAGATTGCTAAGTCATGAGCTGTGGCTAGGTCAAGAATCCATTCTCCCTCAGCGTTCTTTGCACCGACTCCTTGGCCTCCGCGCACCCTTTCTAGACCCTTTCTGTCATTTCCCACATGGCCATTCAGACCCCAGCTACGGTGAGGTAGTCATCTTCCGGAACCGATCTTACGGCCTCGTCCAGGGTCAGGTAGAACACATCCTTTTCCGTCTCGGAGCAGCCGGATTGTGGTGGGTACACGATCAGTACTGTCCAGTACCCCTCCTTCGTGTCCATTCTCAGTCCCATGATCCGATCAGTGATCCTGTTCGTAGTGGAAACGCAGTCCTTGAGGGGTTCTGCCACCGCTATGGCCACACCATTCCGTTTGCTGTCTATTTCATTGTAGAAGAGTTTGACACCCTCTCCAACCTCACGGGCCTTCGCACCCTTCCATCGCGTTTCCTGAAGGCATAGGACTTGGATATTCCTTCGTCTCATGAGTTCGGCAACCTCACGGGACTTCCCTGTAAGCATCCCACGTTCAGGGTCCCAATTCGAACTAGCTTCTTTGGCCGAGGTCGTTCACCCCTCAGTAGCCCTCGCATACTGACCACAGAACTCGTGCGAAGGTTCTGCGCGCCACTTCCGGGTGACGTCCTAGCATTAACACTGATTCTGTTGCGACATGTCATGATTGTTGTGACGGGTTCCCCCATCAGCCGGCCTGTCAACCTGGGCCTGACACTGGTATCGTCCCCATTTTTGCAATTTTTGCAAGGCAGGTTTGTGCCTCGGCAGGGATTGAACTCGTGGCTCAGGGTGACGTGAGCCCACACTCTTAAGCACTCGGCTATCCTTGCCTCATTTCCACCATATTTAGGAGCATATTGTATATTATCATGATATTCCTCCACAGCCTTCTGGACGAGCGCCATCGAGAGATTCTGCCACGTGAACGTGATTCAGTACCTGAGTTCAGTGAGATCGTTGATTTCTCCGCCTCTGTAGATCACCCTGTTGAGTTCCGCCCAGACCGGGTATTTGAGGGGGCTTAGGTCAGGTGGTGACTCACTTAGATATTCCATCTTCTTCAGGGACTCAACGCCCTTCCATTCCAAGTAGGCAAAAGTTTTTCCAACGCCCTTCGATTTCTTATGGAGGCACCCAATCCTGTAGCAGTACGAAGCTGTCAAAAAGTTACAGGCGATGGCATGAAGGAAGGATGTTCTCCGCGAGTTGGTCGATGTAAACGTCAACGTACACTTTCAATCCGGGTCCACGACCAGAATATCACTCATCGCATTTCAGGAACTTCCGGTCCATGCCACCAAACCGCGCCTTGGCGACTGTGGTGAAGATAATATCCTAGACCGTAGCAACGTTGCTGGAGCTGCTCGATGTGGGGGGAGGGGGTCTTCCAGATCAAGAGTAGTACTGGTCTCGAGGTAGCTATCTATGGGGTGACTCCATTCTAGACGTTCCGCATTTGCTTGGAGGTGACGTGAATTCCAGTGAGGCTGCGATTGGAGATGGCTTCATATTTTGGTGTACATGAAGGTGATGGGCGAGAGCCTGCTTCTGCTTATTGAGAAACGTCTTGGGTATCTTCCGCCCTGGTACTCGTATCCACCTCCTCTGCCTGGGCTGCGAAAACTTTGATTTAATGTGACTTGACCGAAGTGTCATTTTTTCCCCTGCTGTACATGTTGAGATCAGGATAGGTTCGCGCCCAAAGTTGCAGCTTACTCTTCTCCCTGTCACCCATGGTGAATCATTGGCTAGATAGCTGAGAGGGACTTTCTTGAATGGAGATTGATTTTTGTGAGTACATTTTTTTGCAGATCACCTTGCTGCAGCGATGAATGGCGACAGTAATGAAAGTGAGTTTGCGTATGCACGCTTAAAACTGGAAGTACCGAATGGTGGCAACAGTGATATCCCCCCACGCCACGCTTTAAATCAAGCGAAGTTGCTTGAACAAGTGAGTTCAGCTACAATAATGGCGAAGAGAACGTTTGCATCAGATGGCTACTGGGCCTTGGTTGCAGAGTTTGTATATCATGCGATGTACGCTACTGAACCGTTTGATTAGGTTCTGTGCGCCCCGTTGCTATCTCTCGTGACATGTTTCTCTTTGAATACACGGCTTTTCACGCCAAACTAATGACTTTTCGAACCATGTTCGACTTTTCGAACCAAATTCTACTTTTCTCCACCGGAGAGTCATTTGACGAGGTTATACTGAAACTGCGAGCAACTCGTTTTCACATCCTCTCCTCACATAAGGTATGCATTTATGGGCACGCATTTATATACTGACACAAGGAGCTTTAGCCTCATCCTTTTCGAGAGAATTTTGCGATTTCCGCTGAATTTTGGTTCTTTTTACGAGTTCTTCGCCTTCTACGCAGCGTGAGGTGATGTGACAACAACGACCTTGAAAATGTTTACAAAAGTCCAAAGCAAGCGGAAAAAAAATTGGGTGAAGCCACCCGTTCTTTGGTGTGTCCCTCCCGTTCACCTAGTGAGTGCGAAATAGCAAAGGCGCGAAAAAGTTTCAAAAACAGAACTTCTAACTAAAATGTAAAAATCACGCACGCGCTGAAAAGCTGTGAATTTCAAAAGAAAATGGTTATCTCTTCGTGTTTTACCTCCATTTTTTTTAGTGTTTGGAAAAGCACTACATATCAATCGAAAGCTGCCTCAAAACAGTTCTCGAGGAACCCTGCTGTGAGCCGTTTCGAGTATTCAATTATGAGGTGAGCTATTTGGGGTGTGATTGAACAGGACCATTGGGGTGTTTTTAATAGGTTTTCATAAACTCGAAGTTAGGCTCGCAAGTTGTAGCATGTGTTTATGATTCATTGCTGGCTGTGTGGGAACGCGGTCTCTCTCTTCTCCAAGCAGGGTACAGCATCGCTGCGTGAAACACGTGGGGGGGGGGGAGTTAGGGTCGTATAGGCCTTTGAGAGAAACCTGCCTTGGGGTAAGGGGAAGAGTCTTTCCGGGTGTTTACTTCTCACGCTTTTTCCCGTTTCTCAATGGCTATTTACCCCTACCCCCAGCCATCTCCACTCCCCCCTCCGCTTGAAGCAAAATTCCTATGTGAACAACTGGAAAACGTGGGAAATTTTGGAAAAACTGGTAGGAAGCTGGGAACTCGTAGGAAAGTATTAGGTAGGTGTTGGGGAAGGGGGCGGGGTTGTACCCTCCCTTGAGGGGGGGGGGTCACTGACCACACATCAGGATGCTGTGGTCTCCAAGTCCATTTTCAGAAGAGACGAAGAGGCATCATCGTTGAGAATTCCCCAGTAGGGGAGAGGGGTCGTACTTAATCACTGATGTGGCGGCAGGGTCGTCATGAGAGTGGGTGTCAACCCCGAACAGGGCAAAGGTGTCAGTAGCATTACAGGAATCAAAATGATTAACTAACAGTATTAATAAATTGATATGAATTCATAAGTACGTAGATAACCGACACTACAACTTAAGGAAGTCCGTGTATAGGCCATGGACTTATCTTGACCCTGAGAACACATCTGATTGCGTGGGCAAACAGCACGTAGAAGTTTCACCATGCCACTACCTCTGCGTAAGAGCCTAATGCATGGCGCATCCAGGGATGAAGCTAAATGGCGCTAAACCACTCACTGCCTTTTTCTGTTCCACGACGAGAGCCGTTGTAGATGCGCTCTGGAGTGTTAAAATACGCCCACTTGAAATGGTACACAGGAAACGCGTTTTTAAGCGTTGTTCGCAGTTTTCTCCAATACATCCCAACGCGTTCATCTCATCAACCCGGGGACTTGAACAGACGGTAAGTAGTCATTGGAAAAAGGAAGTCTTCTTCTTTTCAATAGTTCTTATTTGCAAACAGTTAACTTGGAAGAAATTTACCATTGTTCAAACCAGTAAAAGTCGCGCCCAGTTTCGAAATTCCCAACAAACCTCAACGCTGAATATCTATCTAAATCGGACAACCGTCATGGACATTTAAAAAGTTTTCGAAATGCTCTAATAAAACTCGCGCTCTTCTCCTCCTTAACATTCTACTTTCATGGGAGTTACAGCTCCTCAAATGCAAGCTGCCTTACTTAAGAGGGTCTCGGCTCCCACGCGCGCAAAATGGAATTCAGCATGTAGATATAGATGTAGATTGGAGAAAGACATGTTCGAATGATGGGAAAAGGCGTTCCAAATGAAGCACGCAGTTAAAGGCGGTTGGCACGATAAAGCTCCAAGACATGGACTAATACGCCTAGAAGGACCGAATTCGGCGCTCCTCAACAAGCACTGCGTGATGCTTCCTCCAAGGAAGGTGCCCTTGTAGCGACATATCTCGCTGCAACATACTGGTATTGGCCGCATGCCAATGGGAAATTCGTCCGGAATTACTTCCCGTGTCGTGTAGAACAGGGGCTTTTTTCGCAGGTGTTTGACCGTTACACTTCGCTTTTTCGCCACTTTCCCACAATTTGGTACCCATGCTACCAATTTGTCCGCAGTACCGAATTATTGTGCCAGCTGTCTTTGAGTCTGAACCATAGGTCTTCCCATGGAACTAAAGAAACAGTGACACATATGTTGGGAGTTTTTCATCCGAGCCAAACTCCTGTAAATAAAGGTTGCGGTATTGCTAAAATCCTGTCCTGTGAACCGGGAAAGTGTTCCGAGTTACATCCGCACACAGTTTCTTCTGTTGGATGGCGTTTAGCGTTGGAATGTGATCAGAAGCCATCGGAAATTATCAACTTAGCGTTGGTTGCTTCGGAAATAATGCGAATAATAGGGCGAAAAAAAACCAACCGTGAAAGGCGAGGGTTTGCATAGAGTCGACCAAAAGTCCCACGCATGATGTGCCCCAATTCATACTATTCTAGCCAGCGCTTCGCAGTCATTATATAGCCTACCTCTCTTATAATGTGAAGTCCAGAACCGCATCGCTTCGGAGATTCGTGAGGCTGAATTCAGTGCACTCCGGTATTGTACTACAGGAATCGATGAGTCGAGGATTCTGAACATGATGGCTTCCTACCGTTCCTGAACAAAAAAAAGGCATTTGGTAGTCTGCTCTAGAAGCCTTTCTTCTTCATGTGGCATGAGAAGTCTGCTTCGGAAAACACGTCGATCCACTTGAAAAGCTGCCTCCCATTGAGGAAAAAAATTCTTGAATTTGTGAAGCGAGCTCGGAAGATGATGCCCCAGTTGTTCCTGGAGTGATGGATCAAAATACAACCTTAATTCGCTAGAGAAAAACGTAAACTAATCTTTGGCGCTCATATCTGGTATAGCGAAGTATCGTGCTGATAATATTTCTCCTCTTGGGCCCCTTTTGTGAGGAAAACAATCCAAGGGTGGAAATGTCATAGATAAGTCCGCTCGACATCGCGATCGCCGCGCGCGCGAACTCTAAACAGGAACCTGTAAAAACTGTATAGTATTTTCAAAAACGTGATTCAAAAAAAAACATCTTTAGAGGATGCAATCATGAAAAATGGGCAGTAAGTTATGCATGATCGGGAAAATTGTGGGAGACTAGGTAACAGAAGTTCATAGCTAGCGACTAGAACAGAGTTCCCTGTACTAAAGGGAATGATACCAGCTCGTCGTGGCCATTCATGATGAGTTGGATACTCCTAGAAGCATCTTTGAATGCTGATTCCAGATCTGACTCCCAAATCTGCTAATCAATTCTGGGAGAGAAGTTACGGACCTTTTTTGCTACTCTGCTTAACCATTGCGGTGCGCCCCCTGCTCATACTTTGCGCTTGTGAACCCCTCGTGACACAGCCTGAACTGTGGCTCGATGGCGCAGCAGGTAGGTGAGCGGGCTCATAGCGCTGGAACGAAGGTTCGAGTCCTTGATGCATCTCGCAGTTTTGCTCTTTCCTGATACGTATGCTAAACCTTGGAAAAGAGTTTTGCTCACCAATTCGACCATCAGGGGGCCCCTCTATTCTCCTTATTGGGCCTTGTGGATAACTTCCTAGAGAAATTGCACTGTCACCCAACTTGCTCAAGCAGGAGCCATATACACCTCGATATCTGCTTCAAGCACTTGAACCGAATTTTTTTTTACTATTTTTTGTGAATACAACGTCGTTGGGTAACGGAGACTCCGACATTTGCAGTAGTTCTCTTCAACACTCATCAGCCAGTAGCTCTTGCGATCCGATAGCCGGGAAAGGGTTGTGCCCGACTTCGTTTCTATCGCATCTAGCGAAAGAATTCCGGTGCCGCGATATTGCGCGACCACTATCCCAAAAGAGAGGAAGATTGCAGAAGAGAGCTCCTGGTTCATTTTGAGCCACGTGCTGTGCGACAACCACATGATCGACTGCGAGCAAGATAGTTTAGTAGAAGACGACCATACTGATCCCTATTGGTCGCCTGATAATGGCGATGGTGAAAGGTCCTTCCAGACTACAAAAGGAGCTTGAATCAGTTCCGTGGATGTGGAGCTCCCGCTAGGGGAGATGGTTTGAAAGTCCTCATTGCTTAAAGATACTTCCCGCGATCAAGTGGTCCTCAAATTGCTCCTCAAAACGGCGTGATGAAGAAGTTAGAGACATTTTTGCGTGGCGCAGTGGCGACATCATACTGCAACTGGACGAGACAACGGCTCGCGAGCAGCTTCTATCCCTACAACACCCGCACGGCACGTGTCGTGCGCGGCGCTTCTGGCACTCTGCCACCTACGGTGATTCCGTACTTCCCCTTTCAGAGTTCCACAGTCCTTGCAAGGACGATTCCAATTAGGAGGATGTGAACAAAAGAGCAGAAAGCCTTTTTTGAGTTTCATTCTCTGCAAGCGATGGGAGGACTTGAACTGAAGAGCAGGTAGTTCGTCTTCCTCGTCGTAAGAAGAGCTTAAGAAATGAAGAGCAGTTAGTGTGCTTCTCAGACTCATTGTGTTTATTAGATGAGGGCACTATGCAATTGTTACTACCCCAATCTTCCGACATCAGTTTTACTACCGAGAGTTTTGAAAAACGCTAAATTTTGTATGCAGACCCTCAACCTCCATACACGAATATCGCATCGCTTGGCCAGGAATTGCCTAGCGCTCACGCCACGGTCTCACGGCTCAAGTTTTGCGCTCCAGTAGCTATGAAGCGCGCGTCTTTCCCGATACACTCGTCCAAGACTGCTGAAGGGAAGTCTGTGTTTAGGGTGTTCCCGAGAGTTTTCTCCCTTCCTTTCCAACGAGGAGCTACTAATGGGATGCTGGTTCATAGCGGAGCACCAAATACCCGGAACACTTGGTCCTTTTTGTATTTGGACAGGCTTGACTCAAATGCTGTATACTGGGGTAATTTGACGTCTTGAATGGGGATATCACATCCGCTTGGCCAAAACCTCCCCACGCTCGCGCCACAGGCTCCGGTGATTCGCGGTAGTTTAGCGCCGGTGCCTGTGGCGCGAGCTCCAGGAGGTTTAGTGTTGAGCGGATGTGACATTCATCTTCAGGAGGTCAAATTACCCCAGGAGACAAGTTTTTAGCCATTTCTACCCTCGTAGAAAAAAGACGGTCAAAAACTGGCCAGATTTCGGATAATTGGGGCAGCAAACGGTAAATAGTGCCGAGAGAATTAGTGAAAGAAAGTGAGAGCTCGAGCGATTCACCCTTACAGCTTTTATAAGTTCTTCCTACGTGTCGACACGTAACACGTAACATTTTAGGCTCTGCAAAATAAGAACTGAAGATGATGACGAGGGCTAGAACTCAAGAGCAACTGTGCTGCTTCTGCAACAGCCCTCGTAGGCCGCGCATTCCCACAAA